CCGGTGGTTGTGCAGCAGCTCTTGAGGCTTTGTTGGCTGAAATCCATCCTGAGACGCTGCACCTCGGTACCTGTGCGCAATGCGTACGCTGCTCGCCCGCGCCGACCAAAACTACATGTTCCCATCTGAAGACAATGCCGGTGGTTCTTAAACAGAATTTGAGCTTGCTGCTGGCTCAAGTCCTTCCGTAGTTGCTGCAACACGGCTAACGCAGGCACGGCCGAATGCGCTGCGAAAAGCTGTTCCAAGCCCTCAGCGGCATCCATTTTACTTGCAAGGTTCTGAACGACTTTCGCGATTCTTCTCTTTACCTAATTCTGCGTTGTTATTATTTATTTCGTAAGAGTGTAACTTGAGTTTAGTGGGAACAATGTGCATTATGCGCTGCGCTACCCAGTGTTCGGGCCGAAACGGAAACCTGCCGAAACGGAAACCTGCCGAAACGGAAACCTGCCGAAACTAGTTTCGGTGATTCCGGCGAAGAGGTCCTGGTTCTGCGGAAATGCCGAAACTAGTTTCGGCCCCTTTCGGCTAGCGCCGTACGGCGGAACCTACTTTGAATAGTTTCAAAGTGAAGGCACGTTGTGCAAGGCTGCGAAACTCTGCGAATGTTGAGTTTATCTTATCAATGTCTCAGACAACTTCCGTTGTCAGTGCAGACACAGATTCGGTCAAAAACAAGGGCGGAAGGACCGCTGATCAGACCGTTTGGGCTCACTTTGAGAAGAAAAAATATAATGCAAAATGTAAGAACTGGACTATCATCTGCAAGTACTGCCGGACCGAGTCCAAGCAAGGGCGCCTTCAGGAGATGCGCGTCCATATCGCGCAAAAGTGCCCCCGGAGTGCCTTCGGACACACATGAGCAGGTCCCATGAGGCGCAAAGGCACATAGGGCCCACGAACAACGTTTGCATACCATGGACGTCATAAAATACAGCATTTACAGGGTTTCGGCAGGTTCCGGCAGGTTCCGGCAGGTTCCGGCAGGTTTCGCAGAAGGGTCCAAAAAACGGAAACTATTTCGGCATTGGCAGTAAGGTTTCGGCCCGTACACTGGCGCTACCGAAAGCAGGCGCCTTATGGCTGATTCTTCGCCGACCGCTTCATCTTCCGCGGCAGTTTCACGAGCCCAGTGTTGCAAGCTATGACGTAGGCTTTCGGTGCTTTCAGATACTGCAAAGCAGCCACACAATAGTCCAGCCTGCATGCCGGGTGCGACTATGGCCAACAAGACCACCTGCGCAATGCGCTGGCGCACCTTCAAGAAATTTATATACACTTGTACAGGCGCATTTTGTGAATCGCACGCGCGCATCTGCGCGGCAAAATTCGCTCCTGGCTTTTTTGGACGATGTACGGATGTTTTATTCGCGAAGTACGACCGGACACATTTGTGCGAGAGGCTGCTTAAACATGGGAGACCCGCTGAAATCTGCAGGGTCGTCCAAACAAATCAGCACCTGCAGTAAAATCTCATCCCTGGGTCCTCCTCGCCATGTTCGCGGACCTTCTGCTCCTCGCCGAGCACCATCGCTGCATCGCCAGTCCAGTCCTATTTCCCCGCCGGGATGTCCGTCACCGCCAGCGGCGTCGCAACCTGAGGTTAAGAAGGGAACTTCACTGCTGGAATGGGCCAACCAAGTTATACCTCAAGGTCAACTAGTTAACGGTGCGCGGGTGGACGCGCAATTTTTGCGCGTGCAAGTTTTGCCCAGGTCCAAGCCTCCGTGTGAACCCACTCCACAAACGCCCAAACCGCACCCAATCAGCACCCTTGCAACTCCAACGCTTTCTAAGAATCCCTGTCATCTTTTCTGATTTCTTAGTCTTCTTTAACGCCATCTTTTACGATTCCCCCTCCCGCAGGTGTAAAGCAGGGCTGGCGGTTGGCCTGGCAGGTCATGATGCAGGAGCTGGCACCCCAGACACGGCGGGGGCAATACAGCCGACCGCAATACGCGTTCAGTGGCCGCATCGGCGACGGTACACTCTTTCCTGTGAGCGGCGGCGTCAGGCAGTGTGCCGGGGTCGGGCTTTGCACTGCTATCACAGGGCGAGGAGGAGAAGAAGGAGGAGATTCTATAGGGACGACGCGGGACTGGAAAAGACAAGGAGAGCTGGAAGATCGAGAATAGGAGGAGGAGGGGGAGGAGGAGGAAGAGGAAGAGGATGGAAAAAGGGTCGGGGCATGAAGTCAAGGGGAGACAGTAGAACTGCCATTCCTGCTGCCACCGCCACCGCAATCCACTCCGTGCTGCAATCCGCTGCATGAGCCGCTGTAAACTGCTCAGTGCCCCCCATCCAGTGCGACTAACTAACCAACCAAACTGAATTTGTTTATCAACCGCCGCGTGTCGTGCAACCGCAGCCAGAGTCGGGTCGTTATCACCTGTACCTGGGTAACGCCTGCCCCTGGTGTCACCGAGTGGTCCTGGCCGCAGTGCTGAGAGGGCACCTGGCGGTGCCGCGGCCGCCAGCGGCGGCGACGGCGGCTGCGGCGGCGACGGCGGCGGCGACGGCGGCTGCGGCGGCGACGGCGGCGGCGGCGACGGCGGCGGCGGCGACGGCGGCTGCGGCTGTGCCACCGGAACGACGTCAGCCGCCGCTGCTGACGCCAATGCGGCCGGTCACAGCACCGCTGCAGCCACAGCCACAGCAACAACAGCCACAGCAACAACAGCAACAACAGCAACAGCAACATGTCACGTTGACGCGACTGGAAGACGACCCGACTCGCGCCCGTCGTGGTGGCTGGGTGTTTGGCGCGGCGCAACCCGACCCAGTCTTCGGAGCTACGGATCTGTGGTGAGGTTGGCGGTTGGTAGTTGGTGGTTGGGGAAAGTGTTTTGGCTTAGGATTTGGAGGTTGAGGCGTGGTGTGGGGTTACAGTGTGTGGGCCCCCAAGGATACCTTGCGGACCGGCTGCCTGTGGGCCTTAGGGCGTAAGGACGTGTATTACACTTCCAAGTGCCGAAAGAAAAGAAGCGGGAGAGCAAGAGAGTGAGAGAAAGAGAGCACAAGAGAGCAAGAGAGAGGAAGAAAGAAAGAGAGCAAGAGAGAGAAATTGGTGAAGTGGTGGTCGCCCTGCGGGCGACCGGGGCTAAGCTCGGGACAAGAAGGGAGTGGAGGAGATGGAGAGTTGGGGCCTAGCGGGCTGGCTGAGCTTTGCTAGGACAGGCGCGCGTGCGGGGATTGGAAGCAAGACGGACTGGGCCGAGGACATCCTCGAGCTTTGATAGACTTGGAAAGGTAGGATGTTGTACGAATGTACGGCACGCAGCTCACGACGGCCCATCGAGGACCCTGCCTCCATCGGTCGTCGTGATGGCAGCGCGATGTTGCCGTACTGCTGTACCCCGCCAGGCAGGTCTACGACATCTGCCAGCCTGGATTTCGGGGCCGCTGTACGGCACCGTTGATGGTGGACCGGGTACGGCGTGTGGCCGTGTGCAACGAAAGTTCGGAGATTGTACGGAGCTTGGACGAGATGCACCTACCGGGGTGTACGGACGTGCAGCTACGGCCGCGCCACCTGACGTCGCAAATTGATGAGTTGAACGCTAAAGTAAGGAGACTAACTGTCAACGGTATGTAGTCGTACACCGGAAAACCTCCACATACAGATTATTGTTGGGCAAGCGGACCTCTTAATAGA